ATAATCCAAATGCAAACAAAATAGCTTTGAAGTAATGTTGGCTAAAATGCAATATACACCACTATTTTAGCTCTTCTCAACTTTCTCTTAAGATTATATTCTCATTGGGGTTCATTTTCCCACTGGCTCAAGGTTGACTCAGCCTTCCATCCTTCCAAGGTTGGTAAAATGAAGATCCCAGATTGTTGTGGGCAATATGCTGACTCTGTAAACTGTGTAGACAGGGCTGTAAAGCAGTATATAAGTCTAAGTGTTCTTGCTAGTTTACCTGTTTCATTTGTAGGTCACACTGGTTAAGTAAGGGAGCAAGTACAGAACTGAAAATACAGTTTCTTTACAAGTTAAAGTCAACTATGCTAACAGAATCAAAGCACTGTTCCCTCTAATATCATCCCTTCTTTACATAAAGATAGTCCTTGCTGTAGTATAGGGGTGTTAAACTGCCGGCCCGTGGGCCGGACACGTCATCCGGAAGCCGCGCCCACCCCATTGCCGGCAATGACGAAACCGTCCCGATAGGTTGCGCGACGTCATGTGACGTTGCGAGTTTGACATGTCTGCTGTAGTGGATTTGCAAGTCAGTCTTAAGCCTTCTCTCTTCTAAATGAACATGAATTACTTGGCCCCACATTTATAAGCAAAATAGAATATTATGAATGCCATTGTGAAAAAATGCCAGCGGAAAATATCCTGAGATTTTAAGTGAACATATTAAAATGATACAAATGTATGCAAACATTAATATTTTTGAGGTGAGTTGCCTTCCTCAAGCATTAGAATATGAAACTCAATGGAAATACAGTACTTTCTTTGGTGCCCATGAGACCACTTTTTCCACTAAGACAGCATAAGACCTGATAAAATTAAAGTACCTAGCAATTTTTCAAAGGTTTTCATTCCTTGAAGAGAATTCTCTCTTGAAGGCTGTGGAAAAACATTTGTAATCATTAATTTAATTATTAGCAAAACACAGGACTTCAAGTCTAGGAGAATCCAGAACAATCCTTTAATAGGAAGACAGAGAAAAATCTTTTCCCTGACATCACAACTCCTTGTATCTCCTGCCATTTGATACCTAATTATAAAGACTGTATAAAAATTGCAGATAAATGAAATAACACAGCAGTCCACTTCCTAGATTTACGGATCCTTTTATTAAATTATTTTTAATCACAATGCAGGAAGCTGATCTATAGTGAGAACAAATGTGTTCATTAGGAAGTCGAATTATAATTTAAATGTCTAGCTCTTCCTCCTACCCCACATTCTTCATGAAAAAAGGAGAAAAACAACGTTGAAAATAAAAATTAGAATATATTTAAACATCCAATCATAAGAAAAGATTGTTTTATCCCTGACCATTAAATACTGATCCAAAGAGAAAGATTTTAAGTTGAAAATACCCCTGGGGGTATTAGTGACAACTAAGCATAATTACTTGAACGCTATTCTGTTCACTCAACATTTTGTAGGACTTGATTAAACTGCTGTTCTGAGCTGATGTTAGTGGTTGAAATAGAAAACAAGGTTTAAAAAAATCTTTTTTTACCTTTTATGTTCGGCATCTTATCATGGGACCAAACATTGCAGATAATGGCTCTCCATCTGACTCCAGTCTCCATGAACTGGGTCTTAATTGGCCATACATTATGGAGCTGTAGATGTTCATCTGAATTTAAATGGAGCCAAATGCAGTGTCTGCTGAAATAAAAGCAATAATGGATAAGAACTGAGGGCGGCATCTCCAATCCTGAAAATCATTCAAATAAAGTCCAGAATTCCATTTTTATATTGCATCAGTTATTATTTGGACTCAGCAAAAAAAAAAAAACCCCTCACAATTACAGTCACATGGACTGGATTTTTTTTTTTTATCTTTATCTATAGTCATTCAGGCTTTTTGCCGAAGCTTTTTAATTGTCTTATTTCATTAAATTGTTCTTTCCCTGGTGATAGCATGGGCATAACAATGGGGAGCTCTCTAATCTGGGTCATGCTGGGTTCACCGAAGGTTAAAGCCGCTAAGCTTTAAAGACAAGGGATTGAAGCTTTGTTGAGCCTCGGATTCTTTTTTTCCAGTTTACTAAATCCATAATCTCCAGCCCTGAATTTCTTTCATTGAAGAAATTTCCATAATAGCAGTTTATTTCTATAGTCATAGTCTTCTGTACTTTTTTTTTTCCAGAGAAATTCACAGGGCAAAATGGGGTGAGTGCTTTGCAAATGTCAAATTACAATTTCAGTGATGACTCATGAGAAAAAAAAATTAGAGTTGACTAAGGAACTTCATGAGCATTACATTATACAAGGCTAATTAATCCATTGAAGACAAGATAGACATCTGACATTCTTTGTGTGTCTTTACACATTCTCAGTTAGGAAACTTCACATTCTTCTCAACTTTCAGTTGTGTTAGTCTTCCCCTCCCATAATTTACAGCCAGCTCTGCTCATATTCACTCACAGTACTGCAATTTTATTCTTCCTTTACTATGAAAATAAGACATTGAATGTAAGGTGGATGTTTAAATATTGGTAGCTGACTGAAATCAAAGAATTGATTGAAGGTTACAAGGAAGCAGGATTGGTCTTTAATGTTGGTCCATTTACAGAATTGTTACCACATACAACTCTATGAATAGCTGATAAGGATTATGGGTAATATTATAATCCTCTGGGTAGATTTGATTCCTTAAGTCTATTTAGTTGTTTTTTTTTCTTTTGAGTCACCATTATCTATTCTTCTTCTTTTTTTACAAGTGAGTTGGGGGCAGACAGATTTTAGAAATATCAAGTTGGGGGAAAGTGTAAGTTTACCCAACTTGCATGCTTTAAATTGAGTCTGGATCAGGCTTCTACACCTCTATTGTAGGGTAAATGAATTAAGGGGCGATGAAGTGAATGCTGTGTAATTAAAGTTTAGTTTGACACATGGGCCAAATTATATGCTATTAAAAGCTGTAGTTGACAACTACATTTTCTGCCTCTTTTACTCTAAGAGTAGGAGCAGGAGATCCAATTTGGGTAAGATCCCTATCAGGAACATGGGAGTTGTAATCTTTTACCTGCTACTGCAGTCATGATACTTTCTGAGACTTCTTATAGTTCATTTTTATTTGCAAAAAACTATTCACATATCTTAATGGATAACATTTTTGCAAATAGATAAAAGATTCATATAAATGCTCATCTAAGAATTATAGTAAGGAGCCTTCTTTCCTCCACTCCATACTGTCGGGCATCTTTAAAATAGCATGCAGTTGGGCACTGAGAAATGTTATTGAGGAACTCATAATTAAAATTAAATCCTTTCATTGCTTCTTGGGATACAGATGAACAGCTGAAGGAAACCTATTATACTAATGCATTTGCATATGCATTTTTTGTGTATATAATTAGCAGAGAGAAAATTATGTTTTTATAACAACTCCCATAATCCATGTCCAGAGATCATACTGGTTGAGGAAAATAAAAGGTGTAATCCAACTTATCTGGAGATCATAACAGTTATCTTCTTTGGACTAATAGAATTATGGTTGAGAAGAGAGAATGGCTTTTTCCTGGTAGTAAACTGTGCTTTTGAATGTGGAGTTTAAGATACAGAATTTTTTAAAAAAATCAAACTTTCAAAACAAGAACAGAAATCAAGACAGTATTTTTTTTTGCAAAGACTTAAGGGGTGAAATGAATTTAAATTTTTACAGATACTTAAGCAGCCTACTGTACCCATTAACAGTCTGAAACCCAAAATAAACAAAATCTTTTTTCCTTCTAGTTTAGAAGAGTTTTAAATTCTATAAGGCCCTAGTGACCACTCTTTTCCCTTAAAACCATTTTACTCCTCCAAACTTTTAATGATGGCCCTGAGGGGTGGAGAAGGTCTTAGTGCAACACACACCCCCCAAGGTTGTCCACAGTTATTATAAAGATGCTTGAGCTCCCTCAGTGAGAAGTGACTTTTGATAGAAGACCCTTAATTCATAAAGGAGAAAATCACTGCATGCAGCTATTCTATTGTTCATCTAAGAAATAGTTTTATTTATTGTAGTTATTATTTCATGTTTTGACTCCCTGTTTTTCAGCCTCATATCCATCATCTAATAAAATAACGTAAACTGAGATGTGCATCCCAATAGTTCTACTTCAGTATTCACAATTCCAGGGCAGAAATTACAGAAAAATAAAATGCAGGTTTTATCAAAGATGTATAATCCCTCGAGTGCTAAATTATTTAAGGATGTGGCCCAGTTTTGAAGAATAAAGCAACTTGTTTAAGAATTCACCTATCAACCTTCACCATCAGGAAATCAAACATCTGGTAATGACTCAGTCATCCCAGTGAATCCTAGATACCAACAATTCATGTTGGTTCTTGCACATCCCTATTAAAGCATTCCAAAATCCTGCAGAACCCGACTCGGCTATTTAAGCATGCATGCAAACCAAAAATGTTGCCTGCTTTTGTTTGTTTTGTTTTGTGCCAGCAACCGCACATGCTTTTGCCTTCTTAAAATAATTAGATTCACTTTTGCCCAATTCCTGCATCTTGAAGCAAGTTACAGTTTGAAGCTGTTTTTCCTCCTGTGTATCTCATCTTAACTTTTTAGAATCAGGATTGCTTTTACGATTTTAGGACCCATTTTTTTCAGGTTAAAAGATTTGAGGGTTCTTTTATCAAACCGACATATCCTATAACAAAAAAAAAAAACCATCCTGGAAGCAATCACAGCCAGTAAAAGTTATTTCAGCTTTATCTACTTCTCAGCAACTGGATCTCTTTAGCAGCACTGTGTTCTTAATCAAAATGGTAATGTTAAGTGAACATATTTTGTGTGAAACAGTAATGCAAGAAATTCTACAGGATTAGACTGCTGTGGTAGCTGAAATATACCATGAACTTATTGTCAGTGATTAAAATTGGAGACTTTGAGTTAATTGTAAATAATCATTATTTTGATTCCAAGATAATAACACTTTGCCATTCTTTTTGTCTTTTTAAAGTGATGAAAATGCAAGAAAAGCTCTGAAGAACTTGCCTGCATTTCCTACAAAAACCTTGCAGGAACATCCTTCACTTGCCTATTGGTAAGACCTAATTATAAAAGGTACAGGTATCATATTGGGATCCTGGTCTTCTCTTTGTATCCTCCTTCCTTATGAATTTAAAAATTTGTGAACTATTGACAGTAATATCCAAGGTTGCATAATGGAAAAAGCTTTGAATGCAAAACAGCTGTTGTAAAGCTTGTGTTACAAGTCACAAAAAAACGGTAGTACCAATCCCTCTACTTCCTTAATTAAGTCGTCTCCCAAGTTTTTCGGTTCTATTCCAGCTTACCTTTGTCTTTTTTTCTGGGCAGGTGGCAAATTTCCAAACCAAGTACCATTTTTTATGCTTACAAAGCTGACATGGAACCCAAAGGCATTTTTCTAAATAGAGATAATACTAGAGCAGGGGTAGGCAACCTTGGCTCTTTTATGACTCCTGGACTTCAACTCCCAGAATTCCTGAGCCAGCTATGCTGGCTCAGGAATTCTGAGAGTTGAAGTCCACGAGTCATAAAAGAGCCAAGGTCGCCTACCCCTGTACTAGAGAATAAACACTTTGTGACATAATATCTCCCTATTTAATTATTTTTTTTAATTGAAATAATTTTAAAAATATAGTAGCCATGTGGAGAGTGAGGACTTGCCTTCCCCAAGAAACATTTCATAAGCATTTTGGTATCCATGGCTGCTACCTTCTGTCTTTCTTTATAAAATAAAACACAGTCTCCTGTCCACATTTTAACACCCTGGTATTTTTATGGCACTGTTGAACTTTTCTTCCTATTCTGATTGCTTGATAAATCATCAAACAAATAAGATTGTATTTGATCCAAACTCTGGAGATAAATACTACTATAAATATATTAGAGTAGGGGTCCTCAACCCCCGGTCGATGGACCAGTAGCGGGTTGCAGCATGCCATCAACCAGTCCGCACAAACAAAGCGCCATCCATGAGATGCAGGCAGCACACAAAACCACGCACCCTCCGGTCCATGGAAAAACCCCTCTCCACGGAATCGGTCCCTGGTACCCAAAAGGTTGGAGACCTCTGTATTAGAGTCCACCTCAGTATTTAAAAATAGATTTGCTTGCTTAACAAAACAATATCCCCCTACATATAGTCTTCAACCTATGACCACAATTGAGCCCACAATTTCCACTGCTAAGCAAAACAGTTGTTAAGTGAGTTTTGTTTCATTTTATGACTTTTCTAGCCACCGTTGTTCAGGTAAATGACTGCAGTTTTTAAGTTAGCAACACGGTTGTTAAGTGAATTTGGCTTCTCCGTTAACTTTGCTTGTCCTAAGGTTGCAAAAGGTAGCCACATGACCCCAGGATATTGCAACCAATCATAAATTCATGCCACTTGCCTAATGTCCAAATTTTGATCACGGGATCGTGGGGATGCTGCAATCGTTTTGTGAAAAACAGTGATAACTCACTTTTTTCAGTGTCGATGTAACTTCAAACAGTCACTAAACAAATGGTTGTAAATTGAGGACTACTTGTACATAAATAACATAAAGAAATATACTTCTACTAGCCCTCTTTCTAAAAGAGTCTTAGTTTGCAATTCTTGATGCCTCTAATCATGAGTAAAGTATTGAATACTGAATAAAACTGGTCATCTGCAAAGCATGGCTAGGATTGCAGGTGAGTAAAACTGAGGTGTTTGGAGCCACTGAGACCATTTTCTGATACTGTAAGAACATTTGCAAATGGCACTTTGGTTTCTAGTGGTTCCCCCGAGCTTCCATAACCGGTGTCCTCCAGAGAGTTAAGTCTGCAACTTCCAGAATTTCAGGTCAGCATGGTGGATACACCTGGAGAGTACAATGTCAGGAAAAGCTAGTTATTAATTATAGAGCTGTTTCCAGGCTTCCTTGTGGCAAAGTTTTGTAATAAAAATATGCTGCTGTCTTATCATTAAAAGTCCATCATTGTCAAGTTGTTATTGTAAAATTTTCTTTACATAATCAAGCTTCATCATGAATTTAATGAAGAACAATGCAAAGAATAGTCTGTGGCTATTATAGTTTATAATGGCTTATCCCTTTGGGTTGTAATCCTGGGCATGGTTATGCAAAGATTTTAGAAGCCTAACCGTACAGTGGAACAGCCTTTGTATGTTCTGGTAAGTCACTAGCTTTTTCTGTAACAGTGATATGTCATAGAGAAATTCACAAAGGTGAATTTCTTGGGAACCCCAAAAGCAGAACCCCATAGTTAGAGCCCAAGGATATCATAAAAATATTTAGAAATTACTTTGTTGACACAAACAAAATCTTGCTTGTTTCATTTCCTCTCCTTACAATCAAACCTGCACATTTTTCGTTGTGGCATAATAAAGTAGTTCTAATACTTACCAGGTTTCTATTTTTCCTTGGAAGAGATACCTTTAATATCCATATGGCATTTCTTTCTGCAATTTTTCTATAAAAATATCAGGCAGCCCTAGGTCACACTTAAATTATAACTTGTGATTACTAATACGAACAATGAGTTCCTATAGTCATCTTGGGAAAATAGTGTAAGAGTTCTTGATGCATAAAACCATAAGTCCATTTGGGCCCAACATACTTTGTTTTACAACAGCCAACCAGTTGCTGTGGGAAAGCCACAACCAAGGCATAAAAGTAGAAATCCTCTCTATTGTTGCTTCCTAATACAATGCCTCTATAAAGGAATCACAGCTATAGGAATTGCTCCCTTTTTAAAGACTTCTATGTGAACAATAGGAATCAACACTGACTTGATGGTTCATAATCAGTCAAAATCATGATTTCCAGAATCAGGGGAGGAGAGAATTGCTACCATTTATACTTTTATCTCATTTGAAGATAAATATACTTTGCAATCTGATTAACAGTTTATAGCAGTATTATTCCCCATGCTTGGCTCAGGAATTCTGGGAGTTGAAGTGCACACATTTGAAAGTTGCCAAGGTTCAGAAAGTCTGGTCTATAGTACTATATGTATATGTACTTATGTGTATTCATTCATTCATTCGTTCGTTCTGACTTTGTTTGGGTTATAAGAGAATTGAATCTATTGAAAGTCAACTGTTTTATGTTGTAATCTGTCTTGGAAGTTTCTTTCTTCCAGAATGGCCAACTTAGTCTGTAAAATATGTTTTTGGAGATTATAAATTCTCCTTTCTCCCTTTGTTTTTAGAATATTGTCAATTTTGTTGTCAAGATTTGTTTTAGTTATGTTGTATAGACACTTGCCCATTTGATCTATGTAGAATGCACAAGTGCACTGATAGCAAATCATTAATAACACTGGAAGATGAGCAAATTAATTGAATTCTAATGTTATGGTTGCTACTATCACCAGTTGCATTGTGGAAGTTATTTACATCAGTTTCTATATGTGTAAGTCCTTGGTCTCAAATCTGATTGTGCTGATTATTATATATATTTATGCATAAACCTGCTCACAGATGAGCCAATCTCAAAATTTTAACTTTTAAAATACCACAAAAAATGCACCATGTACAGATAAGCTGATACTTGAAATTTTCATGTGTTTTATTTTTCATAATTGGCTTATCCACGAGTAATCCACAGATTAGCCATTTTTCATGGTATTTTGTTGGAAAATTCTGGGATCAGCATATTTAGGGATGGGCTTATAAGTGAATATATTTGGATATACAAGAAGCATTACTGTATCTACTTATGGATAAATCCATCTGTGGATAATCCAAACCCAATTTTTGGAGTATATTTTTGTACCCAACGTTCTTAGCTTATTCATGAATATGTAGTGTATTTGTCTTAGCTTCTCTTCATTCCAAAAGCATGCAGGCTGACCTCATTTTTGATGCTCAAAAAACAAATGTAATCAAATAAGATGACATACCTTTTTTTTCCCACCATGGGATGAGGAGAGGATTAATAGAAAAATAGAGACATATTAGTCATGATTGTTGAACCATATTCCATACGTAGCAAGATGGAAAATGTTTCAAAACTCAAGACCATGTTCATATCTTTACCACCTTATCTCAATCATTTTGGAAGTGCTTCAAGCTCAAAATAGTTCAGTTTTAAGGATACAAGCATGAAACCTTCCAAAATGGTTGAAACAGTCCATTTCACACTCAGGATAGGAGATTTGCACTCCACACTCTTTTTAGATGGAAAAGACAAGAGAGACAGCAGGTTTGAATCTGGGATTGCCTGGGCCATACCAACACACATTACCCTCTTTATCACATCATAATTTTGTGGTAAATAACTTCACTATCATTATGAGATTACTGCCATATGCCTCAAATCATACAAGAAAATAAAAGGTTTTGCTTTTGCCCTGTCTGCAAATCATTTAAGCTGTATTTAGGAAAGGAAGGAAGGTGTGTGTCTCAGTGTGTGTGTCAGAAAAACCCAGTCATTAATCTTGCTGGGTAGGAGTAATCAACGTTGTAGGCCAGCATGTCTGAAAGGCATTGGGCAGAGGCTGGGGTTTTTTTTTTTTACAGCCTGATATAGCTCTGCTAACTTTATAGCCACTGCAGCTCCCTTTCTCCACAGTTACTTTTTATGAAATGGCACGCATCCAGGCTATAGAGTATTTCCTCTAGAAGAGGCTTAACCTTTAAGTCCATTCTGTGCCATCCAAAACTTGGGAGTACTCATTTTGTGGATTGACGGACTGCGTAGGGGTATACTTTACAGAGAGATTCTGTGGATCGTTTTGTCTGACTGAGATGCATTTGGAGCAACATAGGATCTAAAACCTGCCTCCCTCTCTTTAATACACTCTTTTTTGCTTGTTTTCCTCAGTGAGGACAGAGTCATCGAACATTACATTAAGAACAAGGGGCTGACTAGAGGACAAGCGATTGTTCAGTAAGTGTATTATTCAGCTCTTTGTAACCATGTGTGGGAATGACCTTGGAAGAAAAGGCAGTGAGACAGCAGCCAAGGGTTAACTGATAAAAGGCAGCTTAGCCCCCTCAGCAGGAATGTGGATTGGGCAAAAGGTGCAGAAGAGACCCTCTCTAATTTTTTAGAATGCAAAGAGGAAGGAGTAGAAGACCTGTCAGACTTGCAAGATTCTGTTCATGTAACCTTACACACAAAAAAAGAAGTAGAATTGGCTTATTGTGTTTCTTAACTGGTTTACCGCATGAGGAAGGCAAACATCTATTTATGGGAGAGGTTGCAGCACAGAACAGATTCCAACCCTGTTCTGAACTATATTGACAACTATTGTGATTGGGACTGATGCTTTCCGAGTACAGTAATCCATGCAGTTCCAAAGCTTGTTTGGGTTCCATCTCTTGCAATCCTGAAGCATTTTAGACCGCCTAATTATCTTCCAACACATTGCTCTTCTTCCTCTGGATCCCTGCTGTCCTCTCACTTGAGGTTGATAGCATATTTATCCGTTGAACAAGGCCTTTCAAACTTGAGATAAACCAGAAACCAATCCAGCAGCAAAAGCTGTACATGCAACTGTTTCCTATGAAGGGATGCTTAGCAGATCAGGCCTGTAGGATTCATACGTTTTATTGTTCAGATTTATGTCACGCACTGTAATGGAATGTGGGGATGAACTTGAGGAAAAGTGGGGGAAGAGATGCTACCTAGGGAACAATCAGATAAGAGAGGTAGGAGCCTCCAATAGATTAACGGTTAGAGGAAGAAACTCAGAAAGGATCTGCCCTAATCAATCAATCTTGCAAGTCTGAAAGTACAAAACTTCTCAACTCCAATTTTAAGTGACTTAAAATTGGAGGTGAGACGTTTTGTACTTTCAGACTTGCAAGATTTATGTAGCTTTACAATAAAGTTGATTTAACTCATCTAGTCTTGTTTTCCTGTCTGGTTTACTTGGGAAGGCTGACATGCACTCATGAAGTGGGCAAGCTACATACAGTGAAGCTGCTTTAGAAGAACTGAATATTCCCAAAAGCTAAACTTGGAAAATATTTTAGATTAGTATTGTAGAGAGCTCAATTGCTAGAACTGAAGCCAAGTTCTTGATGGAGTTTAGTTGTTATACAAGGGAATACTTTCAGAGAAGTACCTGGCAACCCCCGAGAGCTTCAGGGGGATTGAGGGCAGAAGGGGGTTATAAAAAAAAAGACTGGTTCTAGTTTAATCGTCTCCTTTGAAATGTTAACTGGTTTGTTGCTGTGCTTGAACGTGTTTGTACACAGACTTCGCTATTAATGTTGATTGATGTTTTATATAATTAAAGCATCTAAAACAATTTGGTGTGAAACCTAAAACACTTCCCAGAGTCCCTCTATGAAGCAGCTGGGCAGTTTCAGAATTGGATAAGTAAATAAAATAAAATGAATGAATGAATCCAAAGACATCACTCGGGCAATGTGTTACTAGTAGAAGATATTATGAAGAAACTGTTTCATTGACTTGTATATCTGTCCTTGCAGGTACATGAAATTGGTTGAAGCTCTGCCTACTTATGGAATCCATTATTATGGAGTGAAGGTTAGTGACTACTGGAAAACAAAACTGAGTGAACTGTCTGTTTTATGCATTTTTCTTTTAATAAAAGCAGCTCATTTGATTAAAACGAGTAAGGAGATGCCGTCATGTCATAGCGCCCCATTTAAGGACTTTTTACCTTTTCAGTTCAGCTCTTCTTACCTTTCTCAGATCATGACAAAGTTTGGTATCCTCTTCATCCTTCAATCTCTTCAGAAACAAGGTCTTTACTCAGACAGTTGTTTGTGATTTGGCTTCCCTGGATCCACCTTGAGCACTTTGAGTAGAGTCTGCATGACTACACATCTTATACTTAGGTGATGGTTTTCAATGATCATTCATCAAACTGACAAGGACTTTGGCTTAAGGTCCTGGAGAATTGTCAGTTATAGGAAATAACGAAAGGCTACATGAACATGAAGTGCCTTTTTTTGTTTCTATGAAATAACAAAAAATTAAACTGGACAGCTATTTGTCTGAAATGGTATAGGGCAGTGATGGCGAACCTTTTAGAGACTGAGTGCCCAAAACCTTGCCCCGCCCCGCTCCACCTCCCTGCTCCGCCCCCACTCTGCCCCACCCACAGGACCACTCACCACCTCCAGGGCCCGCAGATCGCCAAGGCAGCCCAGCAGCGCTATGGCGGCCACACCCTCTGCCCGTGTCCTGCAGCATCAACTGCATGATGGGGTGTGAGGGCAGAGTCTTGTCTACGCTGCCTGGCTGCCATGTCCTTGGCTGCACTGCTCCATGTGGGCCACGCTCGAGGGCAACTCTCCTTCAGAGGAGGTGGCCATGAGGGAAGGCAAGGCTGGGGCAACGGCACGTGTTCCCACAGAGAGGGCTCCGAGTGCTGCCTCTGGCACCCGTGCCATAGGTTCACCACCACTGGTATAGGGTTTTCTGCCTGAGCAGGGAGTTGGACTAGATGACCTCCAAGGTCACGTCCAACTATATTATTATTATCATCATCATTATCATTATGGCAGGAAGGACATTGTTAACATATTGCAACATTTAACATGTTAAATTTTCATTTGGAGTCTCCTCTGTCTTTTGTCTAGCAGATAGTATTTAAGTTCCTATAATTTATTCAAGAGGTTTTTTTCCCCCATTCAGAGTTACAATGTTGATTAGAATAATACAAATAGGATTTTGCATTTCTGTGACCAAAACCTCCAGAAACTAGTACTTACATTATATTAATGGGGCTAGCATTCAAGAAGAGCTACAGTTATACTAATAACAAAGCAAATAGGTTCATGCCATCTGAAACTGCACTCAAACTGTAATCATTTTGCTGAATATGTATATGAACAGCAACATTCCTATTCAGACATCCCGCCAGAGGCATAGATTATCATATATATGTCAACTTTGTCATGCTTTCTACATGTGGATTGACCCTGTGTAGCAAATGATCACTTTTCCAAACTTTTCAAAAATGTCTGTGTTCAACAAATCCCTATTTTGATAGGGAATTTAGAGACTCTCTTGAATAGCTTTTCCACATTCTCCACATTTTATAGCCTCAAACACCCTTAATAAAATTGTGGAACCTTTTAATTTTCATGGAATGCTCACATTGAACTGTGGGTAACAAACGTTGAAGAATAGAGTGGATTTGGGCCTGGTGGATGTCTTCATTGTTGGTATCTACTGGTAATGAAGAAGTCATGACATGGAGGACCAAAAGCCTTCCATTATTGAAAGTACTGTTGGCAATTTTTCTGCAGCACAACTCTCAGTCCTTTAAAATGGGCCCTTCTGGGATATGGAGCTATTAGACCCCTCTGTACCTCAAGAAGATTACAATACTGGCATCTTATTTTTAGCAGCTTATAATTTGCCTTCCACAACTTCCTTCTAAAATAAAATGAATGAAAATCACTTTTTATTTAGGAAAAAATGGAGTCAACTCCACGCATAAATTGTGTTTGGAGTCTCTGGCTTCCTTAGTTCTCCTTTAGTTTATTTTGCTGGTTTTGAGCTAGGAATCTTTGGTTAATTTTAGCCACAAACAATTTAATAATATAGTAATTTACCCCCTCCTCCCCTTCTTTTTCTTGTATTTTGATGACTTCATGGACAGGTCTGTGCAATTTTCTTGGCAACCTGCAGTAGTGGTATTATCACTGGCCACCTGCCAGGTTGTTTTTCAGCTTTTTAATCTAGGGATGAAAGAAAGTAACTGGCTCAAAGTCACCCAGCTGTCCTCCATGCCTAAGGAAGAACCAGAACCTGTATCTCCTTGCTCCTGGTCCAGCATCTTAACCAAGACACCTTACTAGCTCTTGTAATGTACTTTAAAAGTTGTTTTAAAAAGTTATGGAAATCATGCCTTATTGTACAATACTATAATTTACTGTTTTGTTGCTTGAAAAATAGCTCCTCCAAGACCTCTTCCACCAACATTGACAGGGCAAGCCACTAGAACAGTGTTTCTCAACCTTGACAATTTTAAGGCATGTGGACTTCAACTCCCAGAATTCCACAGCCAGCAATGCTGGCTGTGGAATTCTGGGAGTTGAAGTCCACATGCCTTAAAATTGTCAAGGTTGAGAAACACTGCACTAGAATATAAATTGAGAGCAAACTCCACTCCTTACTAACACTGATGATGTTACTTAGTTTGGGTAATGACACATATGCAAGAAAATAACCCAAGCTCAGAGAGCACCAAGAATTCCTGATTTCAACCCTGAGCTCTATGGAAGATAAAATCTCGTCAAGAAAATATGTCAGCCCAATTTTCTCTTAAAATAAACAATAGCTATTTTCTCTTAACGCTTTCTGCTCTTTCACATGTGCATCTAAAGTAATGTATGGACTTTAGCTGAACCAAGTGTACGTCTGAGTAAATACATACAGAATTGTGCAAAGTGTGTACACAGCTCATTCCTTTCTCAACAGTTCACCCTTGCTTTGGATTTGTCCCTCATCAAGTCTTCTTTTACTGTTGTTGCTTACCTCCCACAGATTTTCTTCCATTTCTGCCCCATCTCTAGCCATGGTTTCAAAGAATACAGCAGCTTCTCTTCCCTACTGCTCTCTGGCTGTTTGCATAGCATCTTCCAGCTGGGAAAGGAATAGCAGACCCCTTCAAACAATAAGCCTTCTCTGTCAGCCACAGGTGTGCTAACAAAGGGCTGCCTTCATCTCCCTAACCTGCTTATACTTGTTGCAGGATGAAGTAAAGAAACCTTATATCAACTCTGAAGTTTTTGACTCTTGCTAAAAAGCCTTAGAACTTCTATTCTTCTCTGCCCTAGGATAAACAAGGCATCCCGTGGTGGCTTGGGATCAGTTATAAAGGAATTGGCCAGTACGACTTACAAGATAAAGTCAAACCTAGAAAAGTAAGTGCATCTGCATATGTGTATTTGTCTTTGTAAAATATGAGATTCCTATTGTGCCTTTTTTTCTCTCCTTGTTATTCAGCAAAAGGAAAGTATTTCTTAATTCTAGAGCAGTTTCCCACAATCCGACTTTCTCCGGGTATATTGGACTACAGTTCCCACCAAGGTGGCCAAACGGGGAATATGAGAATTGTAGTCCAGTAAACACCTGGAGAACATGAAAATGGAGAGAGTGTTCTAGTCTGTTGAAATAATTGGCCGCAGTAAAAATTGTTTTAGAGCACATATTGTCTTCGTTTTTGCATTATATTTTAATGTTGTATATGTTCCATGAACTGCCCAGATTACTGGTCAGATACCTGAGATGCCTCCCAGCAGGATTTGAAATAGTAACCCACCAACGTTTCTCCCCCTCCGTTCCCCACCCCATTCCTGCAACTGATATTAAGAGACATTCTGTAAAGAGATTGGAAGATTCCATATAGCTATCCTGAGTTGATGAATTTGGCTAATTCACCATGAAATCATGGCAATTGGTTCCATAGTTTAATGAAGTGTTGTGTGAAGAAATACATCCTTCAATCTGTCTGTGAAAATACTGCCAGATCACGTCACTGATTGGCTCTTGGTTCAAGTATTATATGACAGGGAGGGAAAATGCTTTCAGTGTACTTTCTTTACAACACACATCATTTTATGAAATTCTATGAAATAGATTAGGAACATGTTTTCTAACTTAAATTGTTCCAACTCTTCTAACTTTTGCTTGGATAGAAGATTAGGTTGCAAAGTAACGATTGTGACTGTTCCTGCCAAGTCAGGAAACCCCAACTGCGATCCCTTATTTATGCTTCTTTCCCTCCCTACGAATTTCTACTCTTCTCTGAAATGCTAAGCAGTTTTTCAAAACAACATTTTGTGCCTGCATATGAAACACAATCCCAACTGATGCAGCATTTTCTACATGAAAGTGCAGGGGGCCAAGAAGTACTTGCTCTGTTCCATGCAAGGTTTGTGAGACAACTGAGATGGGATATCTATACATAGAAATTGCCTCATCGCTACTTCTTGAACAAAGAATAAACATCTGGAATAAGCTCTGAAGACCTTGGGAATAACTCCATGTTGGAGAAAACTCAAACACATGTAGTTATTGTGCCAGAGGAAAAACACACCTTATTGTTTTTTTTTTCTTCTTCTCAGCCTTTCTGCTTTATGTTGATGTCCAAGTTGGAAGCTTATTTTGCTATTCTTGTCCTCAGAATATTTTGGATTTAACAGCTTGTACATGTTTTCTTTCGATTGCACAATTTGCTCTCCTTGGAACATAAGTGACGTATATAAAGGAGTGATACATCTGGTTAGCTTTCTAGAAAATAGTTACATCTTCAGGAACCCCAATGTGTGGAGAAGTAGATAGATCAGATTTTCTGAATCTGTTTTGTCTCCTGTACTTGTTAAATATTTATATAAAACAGAAAAGTTCCTGTAACATGGGGTTAGGAGTTACTAGCTCCTTTTTTTTTCCAGATAGGTGCGTGAGTGAGAAAACTGATTTCAGTCCTGTTAAAATGTCATCCTGATGTTCAAATTTCTTATATTTGTATGCAGCCTCTTCTAACAGGGTAACATAATGTACGAGAATCAGCTTGTGCACTTTCTTGTCCTGTAATTGCTTCACGTCTAGCTCTTAATTCCCCACCTCGCATAGAGTACACACCAGAAAATGGGCAGAAACTGCACCACCAGAATTGTTAGATTTATTTACACAAACTATGGCTGCCCATCTATCTTCCATGACACTGGACAGCTAAGAATAGATTAAAACCATAGCAGTAAAACCTAGCAAAAATAGATATACCATGGGATCATTAAATGTACTGGAGCCCCACAGCAACTTTCATCCTACAGATATAAGTCATGCAACTAGACTAACTTTAGATGCCAGCTCAAGGCGTGTGAGAATAGCTAAGTTTTAAAATACTGATAAGGTTGGAGCCATCTGAATCTCACAAAGAACTCGTGTTCTAAAGGGTAGGCACTGCAACAGATAAAGCATTTTTGAGCAGTTTGATGGAGGTCAATGTGGGAATAGAAGCAGCATGCCTCCTCCTGCCCTGACTCACATTAATTCTCCCTCCAAAAAAGCCAGATATTTCTGTTATTTCCCTTCTTGAGAAATTAATACAGTATCCTTCTATTTGGAAAATCAGGAGGTTGAATTGTGCTTCCTGCTCCTTTTCAAACTTTCACATTTAAAACTTTCTGGATCAAAACTATTAAAGTTGTTGTATATGGGGTACCCTTTATCCAGAATGAAGGTGAATTCAATGGATTCTAAGAAAAATTCTAAGAAAATTCTTCTCTTCAGGGGTTCTAAGCAGAGATTATCAAATGTACTCATCAAAACATGATCCTGATTGGTCTGTTGATGATGATGATGGTGATGATGATGGTGGCCTTGATGCTTTCGGATTCATTAACATTATTTCTGAAATTAATCAAAGACTGGGAAAAATTGGGCTAATGTCCAGATTAAAAACTAATAATCCAAATTAAGGCCAACTATAAACCACTAGATATTTTTATGATTAAAATGAATCTGACATACACCTGCTTCCTAAACTTAAGTTTTCTTTTTCAAATTTTATTTATTATTTTGCCCTGAAGAGCATGTCAGTTTTCCATGGCATTCTCAGTACATTTATTCACAAAAGGAAAAAAAATCACAGAATATATAAATGCAGTGTGAATAAAAATCTAAATAAGGGAGATATGACAACACCAAGCTTAATGTTTGTTGATACATTACAAAGCCAATCAGTTGAGACAGATAATATTATTTCTGGGGATAATCAAAATAAACCATGGATGGGCAACAATTGTTTCTCTGTCACCATATGGGTTTAAGATCATTGGACCTTCCCAGTTGCTCTCATATGTATTCTAAGTAATTGAACTAAAGCTACATGGATATACGGTTTGAGACAAGTAAACTCAAAACTCTTTGCAAAGTCAAACTAAACTCAAAAGAAGAAGGTTCCAAATTTCTTAGCTCCAGAATTTTATATTCAAACTATACAGGTTAAAAGAATAATGCATGACTATTATTACAATACAATAAGAGATCCTGAGAGAGCATTCTCCAGAATATATGAGAAATAAAGAAATTCACTGGAAGGGCTTGCATCATTCTTTAAGAATCATGGTTGGTTACCAGAAAGATAAAATTGAACAAAACAATCTGCAAGGCTCTGGAGTGTACATGCAAGCAAAAGCATGTAAAATCATGATTAACAAAGATGTTGCTCAGTATAAAATTTTGGATCACTGTTTGAAATGCATTAGGCATCAGTCTTGACCATAACTACCTGTGCAGTGTGTAAAAGGCTTAAATGGCATTGTGGTTTTTAATAAATGGATAATGTGTTATTATTTCTTGGCCTGGAAATTGTCCAAGAAACTAACAACATATGCAATTGAAGTACGATTGTCGGTGAAGATTCTCAGTCATCCAGGTAGAGTTGTCTGGAAGCTGAATCATAGCAACTGGACTTCTTTCCTTGTTGGTTTGAAAAGTTTTGCTGCTTAGCCTAGTTGCTTCTTCAATCTGAGCAAGTTAGTTCTGGGGACCCTGTATATGTCCTCCAGGGAAGTTTCATTTCTCACCTAATCTGGACAGACTCCTTAGGTGAGTAAGCAGAGAGTCATTGGGATGTAAATGTTCATAAATATTTACCCCTAGGTGGGTTGTTAAGCAGGACCTCCCTGGTGAATCTGTGAAGTGACCTTAATCTTTATGGGGACTGATGGAAGAGCAACATTAAAAAAATTGGGTAAAGGTTGTGTTTGAGGCCTCCACTGAGGGAAGGATTTTTCACTTTGGCATAATTGGCTTCCTTCATTTCTTCCCTCTTCCCTGTAGTTTCTTCTGTAACATCTTGAAATGGCGCGATTTATCCGAAATATCTCAGTGTTTGAGTTTTGAATGCTCATTATTACATTATTATTATTATTATTATTATTATTATTATTATTATTATTATTATTATTATTATTATTATTAACACAGCACAGTTAAATATAACATCATTACATTTAAAGGAGAAAAATACATTTTAAAATGTGTACTGCCGTATTTTAAAATTATATTGCCGTTTTCTCATCTTCATTTTGTTTTCAATAAACTGAACATTTATAGGTGAATTAGGCAACTCGTAGATGAGACAGCTATAAAAAGGATGCTGGTTACAACTGTCATATCTTATTTGCAGCATCATAGACATTACGTTTCCCAGTTACCAATTCCTGTGGAAGAATAGCAACATAAATGTATTTATCTTGCTTCCTATAGGCTTCTGGCTGGTTTTTGTGGGTAGGGAATGTTGGAACAGATAAGAGTCATCTTTGTGGAACAAATGGATGGGTCTTGGTGCTGTGAATGACAGGGGCATTCCACCCTGAAACAAATATGCTGCAGTTCTTTTGACAACACAATATGCATTTGCACCGTTCCCAAAGAGTGCCCAATATGGAACGAAGTGAGAGAAACCAATATTGTTGGCTTTAACTCTAAGAAACAATAACTCCTTTTAAAGTAGGAGGTAATGGAAGTGATGAGAGTATATACCGTTTCTTGACACAAAGGGTGGTTCTATGTTTGCTCTGTTTCACTGTTAAAAGTAAGTGGTTATGCTAATTCTGGTTGCTGGGAGAAATGGGTATGTATGTTTGGCAAGGGTGAGCTGTATACACTCTGGTCAAATGTGTATAGTAAGTGGGATTTAGTAGCTTTCTTTGGGACATAAAGTGAAAGTGTTCTCTGTACAATCTCTGGTTACTTGTAATCTATTAAAAAAATCAGACGCTGTTCTATTTGATAAGGTACTCAGATACACACACCATCCCTGTAAAACTGGTCTCCCCAGATATAGGTATATACAAGTTAAAGGAAAAACATTGGCAATTATTTTTATTCTGTCTGTTTTGCAGTCTAAATC